AATTCCAGTTCCTCAGCCTCTTATGCGTCATATGCCCCAGCCCTGTAATCATTTTCATTGCCCTCAACTGGACTCTCCAATTTTTTGTCCACATCCTTCCTGTGGCGGGGAGGGGCCTAAAGCTGGACTCAGAGTACTTCAGCTGTGGCTTTACCAGTACCGAATAGGGGGGAATAAGCGCTTCCCTTAATCTGATGGCAGCGCTTCTACTAATGCAGCCCAGTGTGCTGTTAGTTTTGGCAGTAAGGGCACACTGTTAACTTACAGTGGACAGTAAACTGAATACGTCTTGCAGTTCTGCAGGAAAGGATGCTACTTAGCCAGTCGATTCCTAGCCTGTCCTGGTGTTTGGGATCTCTCTGTCCTAAATGCAGAACTTTGCAGTTGTCCCTCATGAGATTTCTTTTGGTCCAGCCATCCAATTGTCTAGGTCTCTCTGAATCATAACCCTGCCGTCCAATGTATCTACTACTTCCCCCAGCATGGTGTCATCAGCACACCTTGCTGAGTGTGTACTCCATCCCATTTTCCAGGTGGTTCATGAAGATATTGAACAAAATGGGACCTCGGGCTGACCCTGGGGGCACTCTACTTGACACTGGCTGCTAACTAGATATTGAGCAATCGATTACTACCCTTTGAGCCTGAAAATCCAGCCAGTTTTTTATCCAGTTTACAGTCTGTTCATCCAGTCCATATTTCCTTAGCTTGCTTGCATGAATGTTCTAGGAGACCATATCAACAGCCTTGCTAAAGTTAGGGTCCAGATAGCCAGTCCTGACTTGCCCATAGTGAATCCATGCTGACTGTTCCTAATCACCTTCTCTTCTAAGGGCTTAGAAATGGATTCCTGGAGGACCTGCTCCATGATTTTTCCAGGGACTGAGATGAGGCTTGTAGTTCCCTGGATCCCCCACTTTCTCTCTTCTAAAGGGGAGCACTGTATTTGCCCTTCTCTACTAGTTTGGAACCTCCCCTGATCATCATGAGTTTTCAGAGATAATGGCCAGCAGCTCTACAATCACATCAGCCAACTCCCTCAGCTCTCTTGGGTGCATTGTGTCTGGCTCCATGGACTTGTGTCCAGCTATTCTGAATAGTCTCTAGCCCATTCTTTTGCCACTGCTGGATACTCACCACCTCCCCAAACTGTCATACAAGGTGCAGTAGTCTGGGAGCTGACCTTAACTGTGAAGATTAAGGCAAAAAAAGCATTGAGTAGTTCAGCCTTTTCCACATCTGTCACTAGTTGCCTCCTTCATTCAGTAAGGGACCCACACTTTCCCTGATATTCCTCCTGTTGCTGACATACTTGTAGAAGCTCTTACTTTACTGTTAGGTCTACCAGGCTTGGAATGGGCTCCCAAGTGAGATGGTACTCTCTCCTACCTTGGGGGTCTTCAAGAGGAGGATGGACAGATATTTGGCTGGGGTGATATGATCCTGGCACACGTTCCTGCCTGGGGCAGTGGGTCGGACCTGATGATCTGTTTAGGTCCCTTCTGACCGTAAGTACTATGATACCCTTCATGTCCTTTGCTAGCTACAACCCAATTGTGCTTTAGCCTTCTTGTTTTCATCCCACGTGCCTGAGCAATACTCTTATACTTAGGGACCTACCTAAATTGTGGCGGAAGTTCATGGTGCACCAGTGCCTTTAATCTTGCTTTTTGCTACACACCCTCTGAGTGGCTGAGAAGCAATTAATGCTGTGGTTTTTGCCTCTTCGCCACTCAGTGGCAGTGGGGCAAGGGGGAGGGTTCGACAAAAAGAGCAAGATTTGATGTTTCTGAGCATCAAAGTCACGTGGTATTAAAAATGTTTTAATAGTTTCAGTTTTAATTAGATCCAATACAATGTAATTTATAATGTATAATTTGAGTCTAATGGCTTGAAGTAATACAGTCTATGTTTGATAAAGTATATCCTTGATTTCTAGTTATTCTTAGCAAAATTGTTTTTTTTCCTCCTTTTATAATAAGTTCATCCAACAGACAACACAAGAATGGAGCTAATAATTCCAGGGGAACAGCATTTTTATATGAGAGCAGTTAATGCAGCTGAAAGACAAAGATGGCTGGTAGCACTTGGGAGTTCTAAAGCCTGTTTGACAGATACCAGAACAAAAAAAGAAAAAGGTATTTATACCCTGTGAAGTATGTGAAAACTAATAAAATGCTTGTGCTCAGCAAAAATGGTTCTTAATCAGTCCCAGCCTAATTCAGCCTTCTTTTTAAGTATATTATAAACCTAATTTATTTTACATATTGATAAATCTAAATTACCAATACAACCACTGATACGTGTATATAGAAACTTACTGTTTTGTATTTTAAGCTGGAATTTCTTAAAAGGAACAGGAAAACAACTGGACAGATATCACTTGCATTAAGAAAAAAATACTGTTACTGTATTGCTCTGTTTTGTACTTTCCCTTTCCTTTATATGTGCCTGAATTCATTTGAACTAAACAACTCACATCGTTTTGAAACAGCACTATATTTTATTGAATGTTATTGAATGTAGTACTACAAACATGAGAGAGGGTGAGTTAAATGTATCACAATTGCGATTGTTCTCTGAATTACTGTATTTTACTGATCTCAGGGTCTCTTCAGTACTCTGTCAGTTTCTAATGGAAGGTGATTCAGTGGTAAGGCAAAAAGAGATGCGAGTGTGGAGATATTAGTAGAACATTCAATAGTGGCACTAGCCAGGACACATCCTTTTTGAGCTGCTCATGCATAATGGCCTTGAGCATTTGCTTTCCTACTTGCATGTTTTATTACACTGGTGTTTACCTAATTCCTGTCTGGTTTGTGTTTTGTGCTGTGTTCAGATTTATACCCCATTGGCTATAGCACAGGTGTGGGCAAAATGGCAGATCTGTTTGGCAGCTGGACTGCATTTCCCAGCAGTCCCTGCCTGTGTGGCTGGGGCCGATCTCCATGGAGACCCCTGCTTCAGCTGCTCTATGACTTCAGCAAGGCTGGGGTTGCCATGGAGACTGGCCCCAGCTGCACTGGTAGGGTGTGCGGCAGGGCAGGGGGCTGCTCTGGAGCTGCTGGGATCTTGTGGTGGGGGGGCAGCTTGGCTTGGGGCCAGGGCAGAGCCGCTATCTGCTGCCTGCGTGTCCCTGCCTGCAAGGCTGCAGATTGTGGCTCTGCCCTGACTCCTTGCAGTGGTGACAGCATGGTCCCAAGCTGGGGTAGAGCCACGATCTGCTATCTGCACACCCCTGCCCAGAGCGTGCAGGCTGCAGGCTCTGCCCTGGGCCTGGACCAAGCTGCCCCTGCCACAAGATCCCAGTGGCTCTGGAGTGCCTCCTGCCCAGCATGGCTGGGGCCAGTCTTCATGGCAACCCCAGCCTGATGCTATCACGGGCGGCTGTGGCTTGGGTCTCCATGGAGACTGCCCCCAGCCATGCGGGCAGGGGCTGCTGGAAAGTGGAGTCCGTTGCTGGCTGGATCCAGCCCACAGGCCAGACTTTTCTAGGATTCTGCTATAGCAGGAGCAGGCAATGTTGCTCTTTAAAATGCTACAGGCTGTATCCACAGCCTGTATAAATCTGTATAAATCCATTGACTTCAGAAGCATTTCAGTTTGCACCAGCTAAGTCTGCATATCTGTCTTCAGTTACCTGACTGATCAAAAGTTTCACACAGAGAGATTGGCAAGGGTTTTAAAGTGAGGTCAGTGGGATTGATATGTCTAACTCCAATATGCTTTGAAAAGCCAAGTTGTTATATTCATTAGGTCTGTGCAAGGCTTCGGATCCAGAGAAGATTCAGATGCTTTGGATGCCAAAGCAGCATGTCCGGATCGAAGTGCTGGCTTCTTTAGGCTTTCCGAAGCGGTTCGGAGCTTCCGAACTGCTTCGAAGCCGCTTCTGAGATCTGGCCATAGGGTATAATGGGAAATCAGTGGAATATCTATAAGTTTGTTGTTTTTTGTCTGATTTGGGTGAAACTTGCAGGGGGGCCATGAAGCCTGCCAAGTTTCAAGAAGATAGGTCCAGGCGTTTGGGGGGAACTACACCTCAAGCTGCGGACAGGCAAAACTCGTGACATAGATGACCCTGTGTGTGTTAAGGCACAGTGGGCTGAAAACTGCAGAGGTGGTGGCCCCTGTTGAGGCCACGAAGCCTGTGAGCTGTCAAGGAGATAGGTGCAGGGGTTCTGGGGCCCTGCACCTCTAGATGCTGACAGGCAAAACTCGTGACATGGGTACTTGTGCAACTGTGTCTGTCTTGGGGCATGGGGTGGGGAACTACTGCAGGCCTGGCTGCTAAGCTACTGTGTTACCAGTCAATCATAATTCATTCAGGGACCAGCTCAATACACCATAGCTAGCTACTAATACAGGAGTGGGCAATTATTTTGGATGGAGGGCCACTTACTGAGTTTTGGCAAGCCTTCGAGGGCCACATGACAGAAAGCCAGGGGCAGATAAATATTAATTTTATAAATTTTTTAGGGGCCCTGCAGGCCAGATAGACTGGTCTGGTGGGCCACGACTGGCCTGTGGGCCGCATTTTGCCCACCCCTATACTAGTAGCTACTAGATATAAGTTAATTAGCAAGGATTAACTTCTACAAAACCGCAGACGAAGGAGAGGAAATAATCAATACAGACAATCAACTGCCCCAAGACAGAGACAGTCAGTTGCACAGGCACCCATGTCACGAGTTTTGCCTGTCGGCAGCTAGAGGTGCAGGGCCCCTACACCTACCTCCTTGACAGCTGGCAGGCTTTGTGGCCTCAGCAGGGGCCACCATCTCTGCAGTTTTCAGCCCACTGCGCATTAACTCACACGGGGTCATCTGTCACAAGGTTTGCCTGTCAGAAGCTTGAGGTGCAGTTCCCCCCAAACCCCTGCACCTATCTCCTTGAAACTTGGCAGGCTTTGTGGCCTCACCAGTGGCTAACACCTCTGCAGTTTTCACCCCCCTGTGGTGTAGCGCATACACGTGACACGAGTTTTGCTTTCAAGAATTTGGGGTGCAGTTCCCCCCTGCAAACACCTGCACTTATCTTCTTGAAATTTGGCAGGCTTCATGCTCTCAGCAGTGGCTACCACCCGTGCAAGTTTCATCGAAATCAGACAAAAAACAACAAAGTTATAGATATTTCATTGATTCCCCATTATACCCTATGGCCAGATCTCTGAAGCGGCTTCAAAGCTTTGGAGTCACTTCGGCTGACTCGAACTGGGAAACCGATCTGGAGCTCGGATCGGATCCCTGGCATCTGAAGCCGAATCAAATAGCTGCCTATTCGCACAGGGCTAATATTCATCAAAAGCACTTTCTTGTAAGCATTGTAGTAGTGGTATTCCAAATTTCCAATTCCCTTGTGTCAAGGGGGATCTTCCACATTAGGAATACGGTCTAGAAGTCTTGAAGTTAGGGATAAATCACATGCTTCTGTCCTTTCTGTTGAAGTATTCTGTGTGTATATACCGTACTGACCCATTTAATATAGCGTGAATGAGCAGCCAGATTTGCACTGCAGTGGTCTATTTACCCATACTCACCCGTGCAGGATGTCTGATAATACAGGCTGCAAAAGTGCAAGGAAATTACAATAGTTTCAGCTCGTTTCCCTGTTTTCCACTCTTATAAGTGACGGACACAGTCCTGCTGAGACTGAGAACAGCTCTATTTGTAATGTTTCTACTCCTTTAGGTATTGCTGTCTGTGCTATGACATTTTTAGAAAAAAATATTTCCAACTACTTACCCTGGTTTAGCTGAGCCATTGTTGGCACTGATGGGAACCTAGACAAGGACCCATCCTCATGTATTTTTATTCCTTTGTTTTATTCTGAGCTGCAGGTTTAACTGGTATGGTGAGATAAATGCTAGAATCTGCTGGGGACTTCATAGTTTCATAGTTTCTAGGGTTGGAAGGGACCTTAGCAGATCATCTAGTCCGACCCGCTGCCATGGCAGGAAAGAGTACTGGGGACTTGTCTAAACTAGAGCTGCTATCAGTATTAAAACAAATGTAGTTTTAGTGAGAATGTTATGGTGTAGTTCAGAACTGCAGAAAGGCTACAAGAGGATGAGAATTATGCCCTTAAATTGGATCCAGACATGTGGAACTATTGCAGCATGTATTAATGGTATTTCCAAAGCTAAGGTGGGCAGCATAGGAAATTTATATGAAAAACATGCAGATTTCATGATAGAAGAAAACAGATGTTATTTTTGTTGCTTCCGTTAGAAAATTTTTGTTTGTGAGAGCTAGTTAGAACTGTCTCAAAAACTGCCACCCTGAAAACTGTCTCATGCTGTTGTGAAAATATTTGGTTTCCTTTCATTGTTTTGAATTTTTTTTCCAGTCTCTACTTGTGTCTCTGTATACTTGTCATGGAGGTGTTGAATGCTGTGCAGCCAATCTGATGGGTTAAAATATGTTGTCCTTTTATCAGATACTAGATTCTCTGAGCTGGCAACCACACTCTTCAGGCACTTGTGGATGTATGAAAGCAGAACCCTTTGCTATGTAAAGCTACAGACTTTGTCTTCCTTGTTCCCCTGTGTTGCATCATAATTAAGAAAGCTTTTCACCTCTTGTCCGGAGGGTATAGTTCCACCGTAATTTTAATTTTACTTGTAAAACTATTTTTTACTTTTATTTAGGAACCTCAAAAGGAATCTCTGCTTTGGTTTTTTGGGGATGGGGGGAAATCTAACAATGTTCGGATTGGTTTTATACTGTAGTCAATATATTGATTTTTTTTTTTTTTGTAGAAATTAGTGAAACCAATGAATCTCTTAAAACCAAAATGTCTGAACTTCGCCTCTACTGTGATCTCTTAATGCGGCAAGTTCATACAATACAAGAATTTGTGCATCAGGATGAGACTTGCTCCTCTCCGAGCATTGAGGTATCACATTTCTAAAATGATCCTGAGGCATTAGATTATTTAACTTGTTTTAGATTCTTGTTAACACTGTATACTTTACAAGCCCATTAATGTTGTGGTGGGGAGGACCAAAGGTCCGTTTCCTAAATGTTTTAAATATTATTTATACTCAGATGCCAATAGATTAAGTTTAGGTACATTGCAATATAGCACGCCATTAACAGATGCTAGGTATGTAAAATACAGATTGTTAATGTACATGCTAATTAAATCAAGCACATATGGCGGGGCAGGGGTTGGGGGGTTCTGTTTTTTTGAGTCATCCACTTAAAAACAAACAAAACAGAAAAAACCTGAGAAATCTATTTGCTTTTATAAGGCCCCTTCTACATGTTACACTTAAGGCTTGACTAACCAGTTAAATATTCTTTAAATTGTAACCCAACTACACATTCAACCAGTTTAATGGGGTGATAAAACAAGCACTAAGCTACAAAGTTATTTCACAAAAAATATCACATGAGTTTGTTCTAATCATACCATTAATTGAATGTGTGGCCAGGTCTGTAGCTGGCAACCCCATCAATTGAGGGGCTCTCAGCCACAGCCGACAAGCATTGTCAGCTGTGGGGCTTGCAGCAGACAGTATGCTGCTCCTCCTGTGAGACTCCTTGGTTGCAGGGCTTGCAGCAGAAAGAATGTCCCAACTGCTGTGGGTCTCCTGAGCTGCAGGGCTCGCAGCTGCAGCAGTGTTCCCCAGCATTGCTCCCACCGGGAGCCCTGCAGCTGTGCGGCTCGCAGCAGTGGAAGTGGGAAGAACTCTGCCCCTGCTGTGGGCTTCCTGAGGTGTGGGGGCTTGTGTGGGAAGCCTTGGATTGTGATCCCAAGCTTCCCCTGCACCAGAGATAAGGACTGTGTGGCATGGCAGGAGGCATGATTGTGTAGATCGCGCATTAGATTCTATTGCTCCTTTACCAGCACATTGAGGGGAGCGGGGGATATCCTACTTAAAGAACCAAATTCAGTTTTATAGTGTTGTGCCTGCTTACAGAAAAAGCAAATTTTATCTAAAGAGTCCCTCTACTAGGAGAGGCAATGGGTCTTGTGCAGCTTTGCTTTAATTTACTTATTTATCTGTAAATATAAACTATCATTGTGGAAGGAGCTACAGGTGTCCTACCCTTTTGGCAGATCATTGCTTTCACTTTGGGAAGCATGAACAGCACTGCAGTGTTTTTGCTACATGATGCTAAACCTCTGAAAGAAAATGCTTGCCCTGTTGTATTTATTTACCTAGAAACAAATATGACCTGCTTAAGAGTTCAGTTTTCAATAAGGTTGACTTAACGTTTCCAGTGAAAAGTATTGTAAACCAATTTGCACATTGGAGAGAGCTCTGGATAAGTAATTTGAAAATCTAAAAACAGGGTCTTTTGTGATGTCTTTAATTGGACCAGTTGCACAGTTGGGAGAGAAGTTTGACAAGCTTTGGAGCATGCTTTGCCTTTCTTCAGATGTGTGCTTGAAAACTTGTAAAACTTCTTACAACTTTATAGTTTTGTTCAGTAAAAGATATATTACAATACAAACCCTTGCCTTGTTCATTTTCTGGACTTTCACAGCTACAGCATTCGAACTACAATTTGGTTCTAAAGTAATGTTTTTGGTATTTGTCTTCTTTTTCTTTTTTAACATTTTTGCTGATGCTTGTCCCTTTTAATTGGTTTTCAGAACATGAACGAAGCTTCTTCCTTACTCAGTGCTACATGTAATACGTTTATTACAACACTTGAAGAATGTGTGAAGATAGCAAATTCTAAGTTTAAGCCAGAGATGTTTCAACTGCCTCATCCTGATCCTTTAGTTTCTCCTGTGTCACCTTCACCTGTTCAAATGGTCTATACATTTTTTTTATAATTTAGTAAATGTTTAAAGCATATTTTTATTGGGTTTATTCTTTTATTCTAAATGGCTACTAGGCAATTCTGGCTCCACTGAAACTGATAGTTCTAAATATAAAGCATGTACTGATTAAGTATGATATGGAACATGGCATTGCTAATCACATGTAACTACTGGATCAGTGCTTAATACTTTGCCTGTAGTGTTGATGCTTTGCTTTAATTATTCTGGACCATATACCACTAGTATCCTAAAGCTTTGGACCTTTTAATGCTCACTTTACCTCCTGTCAAGAGAGAGCATTGTTTTGAGACCAAACTCTCTTTACTTGGAGTAATTCACATATCTTGCATCACTTGAGAAATCTAACAGTTGCTTAAACAGAGATACCCCTAATTAACCAAAACAGATTTGTCCAATGATGTGTAAATTTCAACACACAGGAAAAAACTCCTTGATGTATTTATTTCTTTTGTGCAGGTTGTAGTATGTGGAGATTATTTTAAACCTTTACTCAGTTATTCATGTGGAATCTAATAAGTAGTCTGATCAAGGGCCCATTTTTCCTCCCCACCACACCCACCTCATTTTTACCTTTCATTTCTTTTGGTCTGGTTTATATCCTCTCTGTCCCCCAACTTGCTCAGTGCAGCTCAAATTTGGGGCCAATTTACTGGGCATGTATATATCCTTCAGACTAAAATAGCAGGGTCCTTCTATACCTACAAGTGGCAGAATTTTGGTTTTTGGATTAATCCTAGAGTATAATTTTGACTCTAAACTGGCACCCTTTAAGAATGTTTTGAGTTTCCAGTGTAGTCTAGCAATGAACTAATAGATATTTGCATAATTTCTGCGGCAAAACAGAATGGACTATATAGACTCCAGATAATATTTTTGAGTAGTAAACTAATTCTTTTTAATCAGGGTGGACTGTGATCGGTGCAAAGTGTTTTCTACTATTTCAAATACCTAAGATTAGTGAACTGAGGATAGTTAATTTTTAAATTAAAATAACATCATTCAACCCTTCACTCTCACCTCCAAAGTTTAAGTGAATGTGTATAAGCATATTTCTGAGAAATAGTTTACAGCTTATTTCTTTCACCTTTTAGATGAAACGTTCCATTAGTCACCCTGGTACTTGCAGTTCAGACAGGTAAGAATGCAAATTTCCATTAAATGTGCTTTCAGAATGTGAAATAAGTTTCTTATTAGGTCAGTCCAGTTATCCCTACAGCATTTGAAATATGCTTTACAGTCGATGCATAGAGGATATATGCTTCATGGCAAATTCCTAAATAACAAATTTTGAAATGATTATTTTTTAAAGTGATGCTATCATAACCTCGCTAAGTTGATTAAACAAGTGTTATGATGTATAATGACACTGTTATGTAGACCAAAGGTCAGCAGTGTTCCCGGAGCAGCAAGTAGAAATAGACCAATTTGGTCTGAGGCGGGCTGTCCAGCCCTGCTGCTTCATCCCATTGCCTAACAACTGTTGCTTCTCTCTGCCATCCCGTGACCACCACATGGGCAGTCTCATGCTCTACGTGGCTGAGAGCAGTCCTCCAGCCTGGGATAATTCCTTTTCGCTATCCAGAACCTAGACC